GGCAATCAGACTGGTAGGAAGAAATGGTTAGGGGCAATCAGGAAGGCCAGCAAGCGAGTGGTTGTGAGCCAGCAGTCCCAGATTGTGAGAGCGATGTCCGACATCCCCCGAGGGGTCTCAAATTGGAGAGGGTGCAGGCTGGGCTGAGGGACACCTAGGTCACCTGAATTCCGTGCACTGGCCCTCTAGTAGTGACAGAATGCATATGTGTATTTTCCCAACCAGATTTCAGTTCTGTGGCAGCAAAGTGTGTGCACAATTCATGTTTCTATCTATTCATAACCAGCAAAGTACTTCGCACGCAACAGGCATTCTGAATTTTCATCAAGGGGCTACAGTAAATCCTCACTTTAGGAAGGAGAGGGTAAAATAGGTATTCCTGCATTGAAAATTATAGCAGCATCAAAAAGTGAATTAATTTTCCAGGCATTACCCCTGTACTAGTCACCTAAGGTCTAAATCACTGCAGATATCATTCAGTGAGAAGGTAAAGACAACAAAAAGCAAACTCTGAATGCTCCTGGGCAGCATAAAAAAAATAAATAAATAAAGAGGAATAAGGAAAGGCAAAGAATAAAGCTACCTTTATCAGCAAGCATTTCCAAAGGATACTAAGACAATTCATTTAACAAATATTTACTAAGTGCCAGATGTTACACTGATCGCTGAGAGCACAAAGGTGAAAACAGAGAGAAAAGGCTAAATTTTTATATGCAATATTTTTAAGTGCAAAGTGTTGGCCTATAAATTATTGCTTCCTAAAGTATGACCAAAAGAACAGACATAAGGGCCAAAAGGGACTGTCGATACCCGACTTTGAGTCCAAAAGTGGGAAACTTAGCTTGCCTAAATTGAGATTATGTAGGAACTCTCTCCCACGACTGCTTCTGAATGTTAAAAGGGCTTCCTTTATTTTCACTGACTATAAACTGCTCAGATAGAAAATTTGAGTTCCAGATAATTGAATACATTCCCTGCACTGAGATAAGTTCTATCCATGCACAGGTTGTTTTAGTAATTAAGGTACCAGCTACTCTGCCATCATGAATGAAAAGGGAGGAATTTATTAAAATGGTGTCATATAGAGGTGTTGTATGAGGTATAGTGGATAGTTGTTTGCTTTGTCCTCTGGGGTCAAAATTACAGAAACAGCATGGAAATACAACAAAAGGAGTTCAGGTTAGAAACTGGAAGAGTTGTGTGGCACCAATTCACTACCAAGTTACACTCTGACCCATTTTTTCTGAAGATTTTAAAAGAGGTAGGCTGCTTTATTTTAACGCAGTTTCGGGCAAAGCAGGCAGATATAAAGATGAACTCTTAGGGTTTCTTTCAGAGATGCTTTCTCTTGTACATAACCATGTGCATGTATATTTTAAAAAATATGAAACTGCCATGCTTAGAATTAAAAAAATACTAATATACCCAAAATCCCAAAATGTCATCTAAGATAAAGTCTGATTTATTGTGCCCTTACCCATGAGGCTTTCAAGGACATAATAATTCCTTCTTATAAATCAACATCAATAATATAAATTATCAAATGACTGCTTTCCTTGTGAATAAATTCAAATTACTTATTTTTTTTAAAAACTGGAATCTTAATATGTGAGTACTACAATATCCTTGTTTAAACAATTGTCTTCCCGTAGAGTTAAAAAGAAATACATTTTTATTAAATCATGGAATAACATACTCTAACAAAAGCATTGGTACTAAGTCATTTTAAGGATTTTCCTTTAACCTTTATAACTGAATATTTTCCACTCAAAGCAACTTTGACATCTTTATATTGATACCCCCTTGACAATAACAAACAAGTCTATAAAATTTAGTCCATAGTCCCTCACAAATTAAAAAAATATATACATGTAAAGGATACTTTACATGTATAAATGCCAATAATATTAACAAATGTATTTCTTAATATTCATTTATCCATTCATTCATTCAACAAGTATTTATTGAGGACTAAATGTAAGCACTGTGCTAAGTGTAAAGATACAATGATGACATAACTACAGTTTCTGTTCTCAGACATCTTATATAATAAAAGGATAATATGCAAATAGACTGAGCAACAGAATAACAGAACAACAAATCAAAGCATAATATGCTAATGATATGCTAAGGCTGCTCAAATGTTGCTATGACATGCACTGACTACAAGGGGGCAGTCAACTGATTGACCAGTTGCTATGATGTGAACCGACCACCAGTGGGCAGATGCTTCAACTGGTAGGTTAGCTTGATTCTAGGGTCCGGCCCATCAGGACTGAGCAAGATGGGCTGGACACTCCAGAGGTCCTTCCCCAGCTCAATCATGCGCCAGTGGGGTCCCTCAGTTTGGCCTGCGCCCTCCTGCAAATCAGGACCCCTTAGGGGATGCCAGAGAGCCAGTTTGAGCCCAATCCCACAGGCCATTCCCCAGATGCAGGGTTCATGGCTGATGAGTGCTGCTGTAGCAGTGCAAGCCTCTCCAGATTGGGACTGATTGGGTGTGGTATAGTGGGACTGGGATAAGGGGGAGCAGTAGGTAGGAGCTGCAGATGGCATTGGACTGAGGTTTCAGCCCAATCCTTGCAGGCCATCCAGAGTGACCCACTCATGCACAAATTCGTGCACCGGGACTCTAGTGGAAACATAATATTGTAATACCAAAACATATGCATTGGGCATCAAAAGGAAACCAAGAGCAAGTTACTATATAAAGTTCCAAGGTCCAAGCATCTAAGTATGCAAAATAATTGAGGAAGGATGGCAGATACCTTTAGGATGGCTCACTCAACCCTCATTCCAATTGTCTTTCCCTTCGCCTTCCTCCAAAATATAGGCTGGAAAGTGAAAGTGGTTTTTATCTCCTTCTAGAGAAAGTGATGTGACACACTTTGGACAATGAGATGTAGGTGGAAGCCTACTGAGCAGGCATCCCTTTAGAAAGAAAAAGACAGAGCTCTCCATGAAGGAAGGTTTCTCAACTCCCTTCTTCCTGCTACAATATAAACACAATTTCTACAGGGACAAAAAAAAAAGTAATCTGTGAAATAAGAAGCAAAAGTTATATGCTAAGGATGGTGGAGAAAGATGCTGTTACCTGGATCTCTGAAGGCATCAGTTACTTGTAAACTAACTGCCTCCAGGTTTCTCCTGACATGAAACAATAAAACCCTTACTCATTTAAGTCATAATAGATTTCCTACTCGGAGCCAGAGGCAATTTTACCATTAAAAGAAAGCTACAAAGAAGAGGAGATCTTTGAGTTACACTATCCATGTCTCTTTCTCCTTTGATGTAGGTTGCACTGAAGTCTTTTTTAGCCAGAAGAAATAAAAACAATTTTGAATTTTCATGTCCACAATTATCCTACAATTTTCAGTCATCTAGATGACTTCAATAAACATGTTCCAATTTCTCTGTGGAAACCCATTTCTTGCATAGTCATTACAAGATTTTTATTTCTTTTCCTAACTGAAACCTTCAATCAGCCAAACCTAAAAAATAACATTTTTTACGTAAATTGGCATAGGTAATTCATATATGTAATATAACATACAAATAAATAGCTTAAGTTAGGGCAAAAAAGGATAAGAAAACAGAATGGAATGAGGAAAGGAAGAAGGAAATCAGCTTATTTGAAAGTATGAATGTTGTTTTTTTCAGTTTTGTGAGCACTGCTTAAAGCAGCTGTATAATAAAGGAAGAACCATAAGATAACAATATTTTTAATAGAAAGACTCCCCCAACTTGTAATTAGCAATTCTGCTTATGAAAAATTTTCAGAGTTGAAAAATAAATAGCAAAAATTATATAGTGTACAATCCACCACTAGCATTATTAAATTATTATAATATCCCACCTATCTCCAGTAAACTCCCTAAAATATTAATTTTTCTTCATATAAGTTTCTGTTGGACATATTTTGAATGTGTAGGATTCTTTGCATAGTTTCTATAGTACAGTGCTGAAAAGATTCATTAATTTCAATCACCATCAACTCCCTACGCCACATCTACTTTTTCTGCCTTTTTTGTTCAAATATATTTCACTGTGGCCATTCAGAGGAAAATTACACATTCCAATAACATTTGAGTTCCTCTCAGTTGCACTTTCAGTGGTTCAGGGTAATGACAGAGTAAAGAAACGTGTTCTTTACCGGCTCTTTTTTTTTTTTTTTTTTTTTTTCCTTCCATTTTTCATTTGGTAGAATTTCAGCTTCACATCTCTTGTGCCAGAAAAGCAATGGCCAATGTCTACTGCTCACCCTAGCAGTGTCTTACTTTGGAGAGAAGGGGAGTGAGAGAAGTAATAAGTCCAAATCTCAGTTCTTAAAGAGAATCACCATGTGGAATAAGCAATTTCTTTGCTTATTTTTCTAAAATAAAATTATAGAACCATAATAAATGGGGGAACAAGAGGGATAGAATTAGAAAATTTTCAACAATCTTTAAGTATGGGTAGGGGCTAAAGGGGTGAAATTATTGAAAGTCCTAGCACTAAATTCACACTATAACCATTAAAAAAAAAATCCTACATATTCATAAAATCTGGGGTTTATATATTCTTTGGCATGGTTCATAGGTGGAGGCTTCCTTTGTGAACTAGACAAATGCCACACTCTCTTATCCATGAGACTGACAGAATGGGATAAAGAAGGATAATAAGTATAGTTAGATAATATAAATGGTATAAAGAAGGATAATAAGTATAGTTAGATAACATAAATGCTCTCATTTTAAAACCAGTATTCAAAGACAACCTACAATAATCTGTAGGAACTCAAAAGAATATTCAGAGAATGACAAGGCTCCTTTGTTTATATCATCTCAACTTCAATTTCATCTGCAGTTATCTCCTTCCCAACACCTATTTCTAGGGCTCTTACAAACTATGAAATCCTTTTCCTCAGGCCCGTTTTTATCTGGCTATCTTTTTAGGTGCACTAAAGATTGAGTTTACAATAAACTGAACAGACAGCGTACAGAAAGCTTTTAGAACTATACCATATGGTCCAAGGAAGGGAACAATCTGGACGATCCCCATCTCAGTCTGCACGCCCGTCCACCTCTATCACACATTGTACCGCTGCACTAAAATATTAAGATGAAAACGTAAAAGTGAAAATAGTCTATCTTTAGCACTACCAGGCAACCACACTTGCGAAAATTTACCGATAAACTTAATAAACATTTACTTTAATTTATATTCTGCAACACCAGGCATACAAACCCAGGCCACTATTCACTAAAAACAATATTTCGGCAGGGATGTGTGTGGGTATCCAACTTATGCTTCAGAAATTTGGAAGGGTAAAAAAAAAAAAAAAAAAACCAAAATACTTTTACAAGAGGCATATTGGCAGGGGCTGATGTAACAGATGACACATTCTTGGAAATCAAATAAAAGCAATAGGGAAATACCCATTGTTGCCTGGTGAAGGCCTAATCACATGGGCACAGCTGGAACCAATGTAGATCATTCATTAATAAAATGGTATTGTAGTAGCCACTTTTTGATGCATTTCTCTTGCTGTAGTAGCCAAATCTCTGAATCTCTTTGTTTGGTGTTAGTAAGACTGTTTTACTGGGAAATATAAGATTTAGGACAGTGGGGGGGAGGGGGGGAATCTGCTCTCATGCTGAAAAGGAGACTAGCTCAAAAAGCTAAATACCACTTTACCTGGCAATCAACTTACACTATCAGCAGCTTAAAATATGCAGCGTAAACCTGGAAAGGGGGAACTCATCTGGTACTATGGATAAAAAGTGAGCAGTGTGAGATGCCACAGAAAACATATAAAATATTTGTGAAAGTATTATACAGAATGATAATATAGATGTCAGGCAGGGGAAATTAAAATGTATCAAAAATGGGAGGGGGAAATCAAACAACAGAATTAACACGCATCCTTTCATGCAATACTGTCCATAGAATTTTAACACTAAAGTGTGTACCATATGTTTGAAGGGGGATTACTAATAGTTTTGACCGCAGAAACTTAGAAATCACTATTTGTTATTATGTACCAATATTCGATATCAAACAAGATACTAAAATCCCCTACCCAGGAATGTTTTAAATATGTACTGATATTTAAATAAAATTACATATTAGTTAGAATATCAGTTATAATTATAAACATGATATGTAATGCAACAAAATAAAATCCTAGTTAATAGAATTTAGTTTTAATACAACTTTGCTGTCAGCCTTTAATAAATTTACTTTTTCCATGTTTCTGCAAATATAATGATTAAGTGACTGTATCATAAATCCTATTGTATAATATCAAACTATAAAAATATAATCGCTTTGATATGTGTACAGAATTAAACAAAATTGTAAATTTGTTACATACAAAAATGAAAAACTCAATAATATTTACCAAAAAAACCTGCTCAAACATTACAGGTCTTCAATATATTTCTACAATACCTCTGTGTATAATTAGAATAAACAAATAAATAGGACAATCCATGGTGAAATCCCTAAGTCACTGAAAGATATATTCCTGCCACAGAAAAGATAAAGGGCTTCATTGCTAATAAAAATTATACCACTGGAGAAAATGTATTTATAATAAATTGTACTTAATACAAAATAAACATTATTCTACTTATGTGAACATAAAGGATGAAAGAGTTTTTGGTCTGTACTATCTTTAACTACCAATACTAATATTATCAGATCTTGGTACAGAGGTTTCAAGACAGGCATGTACTTAACTGCACCAAGAAAGAAACGGTTTCACTGGCATTCCTTCCAAAAAAAAAAAAAAGTCATAATTCTGAAACTTAAAATGTTGACCTAAAAATTTAATTGATAGAACTTAAAGGAATCTCACCCAGATTCATGTCAGCTGTGCTATAGAAGTCACTGGGGAATGGGGAAGTGCAGCATTTATTACAGGTGCATCATATACAAAGCAATTTGAGTATTTGTTTGTTTTGTTAAACTACTGAGCCAATATGTTGCTGAATCTGTCTTGAGAATGAGAGAAAATAACAGGTGAGTTTATTTAATGCATACGTCTGATATACCTGTTTTAAAAATCCTCTAATGGTTTTAAAGCATAGAAAATTAAAAATAAATCTCTGGAAAAGTGACTTTAAATTGCATAAGTTTATGTTCATATTCTACATAGGTATAGTATTTCCCAGTATATATGGCATATAAAAGTGATTTTACATTAATAATTCTAATATGAAGTACTATTTACTTTCTTTTCAATCACATTTGTTGCACTGCTTAAAAAAAATACATGAATTTTTCCTCCCAAAATCAGACAAATTTTAAAAATATAAGTCAGTCACAATATCAATCTCCTCCTAAGAAAACATATTCTGCCTATTTATTCTTATTTTGATTGCAAAACACTAGTTTTTAAAATAGATCACTTGAAAATAAATCATTTATTTTTGCTTAATACAACAGAAAACATTTACATTTTGAGGAACAGTCTATGAAGTTTCATAGAATGCTTACTCATAGTGAAAATTTAGTTTCCTGCTCAAATCATCATCTAAAATCATAATGCTACTTTTACACACACCTTGTCATAGCAGGTCACTAACTATCATTTAGAGAGTATTGGGAAAGCTGAAAATATTTCTGTGTTTTATCTTGCATTTGGATTTTTTTTAAAATGTCATGCATATTCTTATATTTAATTGAAGTTTATCTGGTTATATAGCAATAGTTATCAGACATTCCATAGGTGAGTATTCAATTCGTAAAAGATATAAACTACCTTGAATTTTAGAGAAAAATAGAAAACAGTGCAGACTGTCTGGTCTCAAGAAGAGATAGCTTGGCATTAAAATCCATACAATATAAGGAATGGTCATTCAGGAGTTTCTGTTCAAATATTAAGCTGTGAAGCAAGATATGATTCCACTCAAGCAAAAGTGCTATGTCAGAATGGCCAAAGTTAGAAGGGTTTGCTGAAAAGTGTGGCAAAAAAAAAAAAATGCAAGTGGGAAAGAAACCTCTCAGAGAGCTGGAAAAGGCAAACCTAGCCCAAGCTTCTGTAGGGAATAATGCGGCTCACTGAGTGTGGAAGTTGGGAGGAGAATGATGTTTCTATTGTGCTCATGATGGTGGTCTTTGTGAAGAAAGAGGAAGGCCAGGGTTAAGAAATGGTGCCAGTAGAAGGAAAGCAGGCAGCATGCCTGCCTCTGGTGATGCTGGAAGGGAGACCTGTGCCGAATGAAAACCACCGCCAGAACCGAGCTACACAAAACGCGTTGGCTGCCATCCTAGAACAGGGCCGGCTGGCTGTTATTCCTGCGCTAGCCTCCCTCCATCGAGGCAGTGTGGGATTGTCACTTTGATGCACGTAGAGAACAAAGAATCATATAGTAGGGGGTACTTTTTGCCCCTGTAAAGTTAGGTTAGCATTTTGCTTTCTTTGACAGTTCTTGAAAAGACGCAAGAAACAAAAGTGATGCTAGAATGGATCAATAGCCTAAAGAAATTAGTGTGAGTACAATATTGTCAACAGTTTAAAAGCCATGTGAGAGATTAACATTTGAACAAATCAGACTTAAAAGGAGTCCAAGTCATATACGTACAGGTTTAAGAGGCTAGAGACCAAGAAATGCAAGATTCATAATCATATAATCTTACTTAAAATCTAATATTATAAAATCTATCCCCCCTGTAAAAAAAAAAAAAAAGTATTATAATTTTAGGTCGCTATTCAGAGACAACTATGTTAGCTGCTAATTCTGACCCTGATTTCTCCAAAATGAAATAACCTGTTTAAAAGATTATAACATTAGAATCTGAATATTTTATGCCTTTACAAGGAAAGAGGTGATAAATGATCAAAAATGTTTAAAGGATTAAACCACAGATCATCTACAAAGTTGCCATAGACACAAACAGGAAAACCATCTCTTGTCTCCTATTCAATTCTGTACTAGAGTCAAAGCTAAGACAAATGAGAAAGCCAAGCGTGTGCTCTTACAAATTTCAACTAAATATACTCCCTGAATCTGGTGACTAAAACAGCAATAAGCCATCAGCTCCTAAAGGGATGACCTCTTTCTTTCTGTCGTGCAAGATAAGTAGAGGAGGGGGTCCATTTTCTACCAACCAAATGAAAAGAAAGAATGAACTGTGACCTGAGCTTACCTAATTTCTGGCAAAATGGTCCCCTACCCAGATTCTAAATAGCAAGTCACATCCGCGTTGGGAAAGGCAATAGGGGAAGGAGAGCCTAAGGAAGAAACCAAGAGAGACTAGTGGCCAAATTTCAAACAATGCACATGCTTCTGTTATTATGCAAATTAGTGCCCCTGCACAACACTTTGGGAGGACAAAATGTGTGGTAAAGGTACAATGACTTACTCTGGGTGGCAAGGGTAAGTCTAACATATAATCAAAGAATGCATGATTTTGCTCCTCACTGTTCTCCTTTTACAGTTCCTTTCTTTCCTCTAGCATACACTGCTGATGCTATGACCACGTGGGACACTGGTAGTTGTAGGCGAGGCATTCATGGATTGCCAAAGTGGTCCAGAGAGTGATGTCTGGTTGGCGTTAGTTCAACAAGAAATATGAGGCAAAACTAGGGAGCAAAAAGCATGAAAGGTATAGAAGAAGCTAGCCCATAGCCTGATTTTTTTTTTCTGTTTATTAATGATGCAGATTGAAATGGGGGGAAATCTACAAAAAGCAGCCAAGTGACTGAATTACAAAGAAAGATGAAAGGAGTTAAATGTGTGTAACTTGGCTGACAACCAAGGAACAATATGAGAGCTGTCCACAACTCTCCAAAGTATAGACATAAAAAAAGAAGAGCTGGGAATTTTTATCTACAATGAAAGTGTGAATATATGAAATAATAATGAGATCAAGTAAAAATAAAAAAGTCTGATTTCAAGCAGCACAGGAAGTAATCTGATAAAACTTAAGAAAAGCTGCTTCCTTCTCTTTAGAAATGTTTACCATTTTCCTGACCTGCACGGAAATGAGGGGTGGGTGAGGGGGAATAACCACAGACTGACAGAGGCCTGGACTAATGGAGAAATGAAAAT